GATAATCAATCCATTAGAAAAACAATCTTTTTTTTTTTTGTTATTTCTTCATTTCAAACAGAAGGTTATTTTCTACTTTGTATTGACGATGCTATTTTATACGTTATTTTTCTTAATTATTATAATAACTATTGATTGAACTGATAGATAAATATGTTCTACATATCTATTATATATATAATAGGTATCAACGTACTATTACATATGTATATATATTAATAAGCTCTCAAACATTAATATTGATTATTTTTCAAAATTATAATATGATCAATGCATGCATTTTTATGTTGATTAAATGACGACTGTGACAAATCAATGCGTGACTACTCATCATCCTTGACGGTTTTTTTATTTGAATATAAATTTTTATCTGTATAATAATCAAAGACTACGTTATTGAAAATATTTACAAGTATATTTTAGTTAGTTAAATTTTAACAAAAATTTTCTCGAATAATTAAACTTTTATTATTAAATATTATTTAGCATTCTTTTTTTTTTTAATACTAAGAAATTCTCCATAAGAAATCTCTAAAGTATGTAATGAAGAGAATTGTAAAAAGTTCAACTTCAAACTTTTATTTATATAATTTAAAAAATATTTCCTAAAAACACAAATGTTCTTTTTGTGTGTGGGTGTGTGTGTATATTCGTATCAAATCCCTTCATATTATTGAGAAAAAGAACCTGTCATACGATCAATATCATATAGAGTCAGTAAGGTTTGAAATAAATCATGTCATACAATACAAGAAAAAAGTGAGAATACGAGAAAATGAAAACGTATCATTATCGCTTTCATTGTCATATAGTTAACTACTGTTAGTTTTATGTTTTAACATGAACGAATAATTGATATCGCAAAAACACAGAACGTTACATTTTTTTTTCTTTTTCGTTTTTTATACATTTTACATATATAACCATGTTTAATGGTGCAATCATAGCATATTATACTCAAGAAAGAGTCGCCGTCGTTTCGACCATGAAAGTAAAAAAAAAAAGAAGCGTGTGTTAACAATAAAGAAAAAGATACAGACGATAATCAAGTTTTTTTTTTTTGGTATTACTAGTGTTTAGAAGGTATATTATATCCATTGAATAGACAATCACGAATGGAACAAATTGACAAGCTTCGTTGTTTTTAATATGAGCATACTTCAAATCATTGTTCTTTGTATGTGTTCGTTCATTACACAGATATTCATCAGTCATTCATATTGATGACAATGATAGTATGCATATGAGAATAAAAGAAAGAGGAGAAGGAGGTGATGAGACACACGAGACCTATTTCACTACAGAATATGTCTATCTCACACTTATTTGAAGGTAAATCGTGAATAAGGACAAGTTGTAATTATAGTATTCTGGTGTCTCGATTTCTTTTTCTTTTTTCTTTTTTTTTTTGACTGTATTATCATGTTCGTCGTTTTGTTATAGTTGACGGGGGAAATGTTCATTAGAGAAAGAATATAGACTTTTTGATATGCCGTATTTGTATTGTTTTGTTTAAATTTATATGAAATATTAAAATGAGAAAGAGAGATAAATGTATATAGTATTTTTTATATATCTTAGATTTTATTAACGTATAGTTGACTTCTTTTGATAGAAAGAGTAGTTACGTCAGAAAATTTGATTTTTTTTTGTTTTTGATATTCTATTTATTTGAAATTCAATTTTTCATTAAATATTCTTATCGTTATTTGTCTTCTTCTCTTTATTTCAGTCTTCATATCAATATCAATACATTGATATCGGTGACAAAACGATTATTAAAAGCTAATAACAATTCAACAAAGTGATCAATGAATGATCATTCATATTTAAGCAACGAATAAATTTCAAAAAAAAAAAAAAAAGAATAGAAAATCAAATAAAGAAGAATGATAATATACAATGAATTTAAGCAAATGTATGATTAACTAACAACTATTATCGATAATCTATTGAATTAAAAATTTATTCAATAGAATATCTATAAATAATGTTAATAAAAAGTCAACCTATAGCTCCTCTAGAAACAATTTATGAGGAGTCAGGTAGTTTTATTGCATCAACTGTTGATATTGAACGTCAACTAAATAATCAATCATATATAAATGAGACTTTTAATAGTCTCATTAGTTCTCATACAATACCAACAATTAATATATTACAACAAAAAACAAATGAAAATCAAAAAAAACCTCCTATTGAAGTTCGGTTTCGAGATGGATCGAAACGTTTTATATCTCCATCATTAACAAACCCAACAACAATGGTAACAAATAGAAGAAAAATATTTAATTCTTCTCATGATAATTTAACATTAAATAATCAACAAATAAATAATGGAAATTTTCATGCAAAACATTCAAAAACTCCATTAGTTATAACAATTATAACAGCTGATGATTTAAATGAAGCTGGAATAACACCAACAATATCATCATCATCATCATCAGATGATTCTGAACGATCAACTATAGCTGTATCATTATCAAAATCATCAATTGATACTGTAATTACTGTACAAGATATTCGTCAAGGTTAATTATTTACATATCTATATATTTATTTTATTTTATTACAATTCAAAAAATTTCAAATTAAATTTTTATTTTAGGTTCTATTCAACGATTACCAACTACATCATCTATAAAATCAGTTGTTAGTAGTTCTTCAATAAATCTTAATAATACATCTGCTAATTTTCTACAACATTATCAACAACAACATACAGTTACAAATAATCGTTTAAGTTCAACATCATCACAAACATCTTTTACTTCAACTAATGATTTATCAACAAATTCAAGTCCAAAAACAATTATTTCATCAATACAAACACCATTGATTAATGATGAAAATAAAAAAAAATTATTAATAAATTCAAATATTATTTCTTCTTCTAAACAATTAACTAATGAAACAGTGAATCATATAAATCAACCACATACAACATTATTATCAGGAGGTGGAAGTCGTAGTGCATTTCGTCCATTTCATAAATTGGTAGGTTGTAGCCAACAAACATTTCCTATTACATCACAAACATCATTAATTATTAATGACAGATCTAATTATTCTCCACATCATCAACAAGAAATAGTTTCAAATATTGAATATAATCATCAAAATTCAACAAAAATATTATCTCAATTACCTTCAACTAATATTAATTCATATGTTACAAAACCTTCTTATGATACAACAATATTACAACAAAAAAAAATATCCGAAACAACAACAAATCCATCAACATATATTAATTCTTTAGTAGAACAACTAGTAAATTAATTTTTATTTTTTGTTTAGATAATAGAAAAAAACATATTTCTCAAATTTTTAACTTTTTTTTTATTTAGAATCTTTCAAATTGTCAAAAACAATCATTTCCATCATCAAATTCAACTATAAAACAAACAAATAATTCTTTGACGGTACCGAATCTATTCAATATTTCAACTAATTCAGGACAAAATGTTTCAGTAGCAAACAATTCAAATATGAAATGGTATAATGTAACATCAAATTCAATAAAAGAAATACCAAATCTATCAAAAAAATATTCCGGTATACCATTACGTGTAACATTACCTACTGGAACACCAACACATAATCAAAAATTAATAACTAAACATGATCGAGCATTAGAAAATCGTCTTTTAAATGCTGGTTTATCACCTGAAACAGTTGCACTCTATGAAAGAATACTTAATATTGCTGAAAATCCTTCACTATCAAAAATATCACCATCAAATGTTATCAATCAATATCTACAAAATCATTTCATATAAGAAAAATAAAAAAATATCTATGCTTTTATTATTAAAAAAAAAAAAAAAATTTTTTTTCTTTTTTTACTTTTTTTCTTTCTGTGACAAACAACGAGGAATTTTTAATTTTACTAGTTTATTTTTTTGCAAAAAAAACGTAGAACTTTTTTTTTCTGTTTTTTTTTTTTAAAGTTCATGTTTTGTTTCTATTGAGAAAGGAGAGAAAATATTAAACATGCAAAGTCACACTCTTTGTTTATATATATATATAGCATATATTGATTGATTCACTTGATTATTTTACAAAACTGAATTAATCATAATCAGTTGTATTTTCGATCGATAGATAATGACCAAAAGATTTAAACTGATTTTTTTTGTTAATTCATATACTTTGTTCAATTAAAAGATTTTAAAAAACTTCGACAAGTTTGTACATACATTATATTGAATCAAAAATTGTTTTCATAAAAAAATCATTAAAAGAATCTTTCAGCTAACTAGAATCATATGAATACTCACAATTGTAATTTACCTATACATTAAAGATACTTGATACTATAGATTGAATACCAAACAGTGTAAATAATATGTGAATATTGAATAATGATAGATGATTTCAAATGCCTCAAGAATAGCAAAATGAAATAATACAAGTTTATAATAAATTTTATGTAATATTTTATCTGTTCGAATCTTGAGTAGACAATAAATGATAATTGTAACAAGTATTAATGTTTGAGTTAAGCAAAATTATTATTAAGATTTATGATTATTTACTTCTCTTTATAATAAATAGAGTATAATTTAAAAAAATATATATATGTACACGACACTATTATCTAATAACCTTAGGGTTTACTTCGACACCTATTACCGAATAGAAAAAAACAAGACAGTTGATATGATGATTAAGGTGAAGCTTCATATTAATGATTGTAGCAAAGGCCTTGATTATTTATTATGATTACCTTTTCTTTTTGTTGATAAAACACTATGGAATTTTTTTTAGTAAAATTAAGTTTTAATCTAAAAATTCTACTATCTATGATTGAATTCATATTGAAATTGAAAGTAAATTTAATAGTATTTTATCTTGTCATTGTCAACTTGTGACCTCTTTTGGATTATCTTCTATTTTCACAATCCATCTTTTTTTTTTTTTTATTTATGTTTTTCATTCTAGATTAACATACATTTAATATCTAAAGAAAGATTTCTTTCTTATATTCTAATATGGCGTTAGATACTGGTGAAAAAACTATTATTAATTATGCTACTGAAGGTTAGTAGGTTTCGTTTTTCTTTTTAAATTGTTTTTAATTATTTATTTATTCAGGTAGTTTTGAAGATGTTGAACATTTACTTAAAAATCATGTTCCTGTTGATGTTCATGATGAGGTTTCTATACAAATTTTTTTTTTTTATTTAAAGAGAAAACAAAAAAAAACTCAATTGTTTTTTTTTAAATCTTAGCATGGGATGACACCATTGCAACATGCAGCATTTAAAGGACATGCAAATATATGTTCTCTTTTATTAGCACATGGTGCTAATGTTAATGATCATGAGCATGATCAAGGTTATACGGCTCTTATGTTTGCTGCTCTTTCAGGTATTAATATAATATTATTTTTTGTTTTTTCTTTTAAATTGTTTTTATTTTAAGGTAATAGAGAAGTTGTTCGTATTCTTCTTGAAGCAGGTGCTAAAACTCATCAAACAAATCGTATTGGACGAACAGCATCTCAATTAGCTGCATTTACTGGACAAAAACAATGTGTTGATACAATAAATAATTATGTAACACTTGAAGATTTAAAATATTATACGATTCCACAAGGTCAGTTTTTATATTGAGTATTTTTGGTTTTTTTGCATGAATAAATCAATTATATATAAATAAAAGGAAATATAATAATTTATTTCCAGGCCAAGAAACAGAAGGTAAATTACCGGAATCTTGTATGCATGGTTTTCAACGTTTACTTATTACAATTAATTTCAATCCTGTTCATGTATGTAATGCGTGATTTTTGGATTTCCTTTTTCTTTTTTTTAATATGTTTACTGGGCTCCTATAATTTCTATTTTTTTGAAAAATTCTATATTTTGTCAAAAAGAAGTGGGACAATTTTACAAGACTTGACTTTGCCCTGAGAAGGGAGTACAGGGATCTTCACGGCGCTAGCCCCCTTCCCCTCCTCGGTGATCACTTTTTACGAAAAAAAACCAACTAATGTGAATAGCTGTTTCTTGCAAGTAAAGCGCATATATTTGAATTGCGGTTCGACGTACAATACCTAAATTTTGATCAATTTTTTAATGAAAATAATCGTATAATTCAGAAAATGAAATCTTAGAATTTCGAAAATTTGTAATCGAAGATCACCTATATACTATCGATAGACAAAAAAGAAATCATAGAAAGTCGATTAACAACTTGCCTTTTTAAAAAATACAAAACTTCTTATTTTTTTCTGATGCATTTTAATATCTAAAAAATAGTCAAATTTTTTTATGTCAAAAATGAAAATTTGTTATATACGTCAAATAAAATCATCTCATGTATACACTTAGAAAAAAAAACACATAGTTTTAGGCAATATTTTAAATATTTGATTACTATAAAAACATATAGTAAACCAAAAAAACTATTAAGTATTCTATAAGCATATGAAATTTTTTGTTTTTGTCATCCTATAAATTGAATCTACATCTATTTTATATGCATTACAAAATCTGTATACTTTTGAAAAGTTTAATATTCCCATAAGAATAAATTTGTATTAATTTTTTTGATAGACCTTGAATAGTGTTTTTGTTTTATACTTATAATAAAGCTTTAAAAAAAAACTTGATGTTACAATTATTTATTTTATTTCAAAAATTTATTACAAAAAATAGTTTTGAAAAAAAAAACAAAAAGGTTTCCGATCCGTACGTTTAATTAATACTTTTATATAAGAAATATATAACTTGATAGAAAATTTCATAGGAATAATTGAAACTTTTCGATTTATGTCCATTGAAGATATCTTCATTATAATAAAACTTTACAACTTTCATTATAGTTCTAAGAATCATCTAAATATTATTAATATACACATTAGAACTATTACTGTATTAGAGATGATTAAGTTTAATTTCAAAAAAAAAAGATTTATCATAATTCAATTTCATTTATATTTCAAGACATCAATGTCCTATGAAACATTTTTTTGTTTTCATATGGTACCATCATCATCTGCTTCCATTGACACGTCCTGTATTGTCTCATTGTATTGATAATTTTTTTTCTTTCTATGATAGACAGTAATGTAATAATTAATCATTTGATTAATAATTCAAATCGTAACTTATTAAAAATATAATGAATATTCATTTTCTTTAGAAAGTAGAAAGATACGATAGAAATGAAACATCATAAATGTCCTTAAGACAGATGTTTCAAAAATTTGTTTTTCATTATTTATTTATTACAAAGATCAACAAAACCGATGCGGGGAAAAAAGAAACTTTCTAATGTAAATAATATTGAACGTACATCTTGATCATTTTTTTTATATTGTCATGCTTTTCTGTCCTTTATTTATTCGATCTTATGTTATTTTGTTTAGATTATATAGAAGGATAGAATACACTCTCCTCTGTAAAATGAGATATTGTCCAGCTCTCTATGACATTTTTTCTAATTGAGATAAAGTAATTTGATCGAAGGTCAAAAAAATAATGTTAGAAACATCCAGAAGATTGATTTATGTTAGCTAAAGAGAAGTCGGAAATATCTCATTTTTCAAAGAATTGTTTACTATATCGTTTTGTGTAAACAAAATAACGTTATCGACATTAAAAATTAGCCTTTTGATTTTTATACATTCTCTTTCTTTGACAATTTGATAAGAATTTTTATTTCATTAATATTCTTTTCGGAAAACTATTTTCTCTTTCTAATGTTTATTGTAGCGGAAAAAATTAAAAATAAACATTATCAGAATATTTTTGGCAATATTTGTTTATAACTTGTCGATCAAAAGTATAATTTCTTTGATTGATCTTAATTAGTTAATAAAATAGGACTATATTAACAGTAAACTTATTAAAAAAATTTCTTATCAAATTTATAAATTTTATATATTTTTTTTGTTTGTTTTTCTTTGATTTAAGTTGCTCAATATTATTTGTAAATATTCAGAATTATATCAACCAAGTTCAAATCTTAAACGAATTTCTAATACACTTTCATTTATAATTGAACGATCATTAGATCCATATCATACAAATGAACCAAATGATACACTTGCAATTAAATCACATTATATAAAAACATTAATTGATACTTTATTAGAAAAAAATATAGATAATATTGAAAAAGTTTGTAATGAATTACGTAAAAAGTAAGGAAAACAAAAACAAAAAATATTTAATTGTAATTTTTATATTTACAGATTTGTACATGAAAATGAAAATGATAATTTTCGAATGTATGAAGAAAAATTTATTCGAGAAACTATTCGTAATTTTCCTTATAAACAATGTCCACTTCTTCAACAACTTGTCAGACTTATTGCTCCAATTGAATTAGTAAGTTTTATGAAAGATTTTTGTATAATTATATATTTTTTTTTTCGTCTTATATCCAACAAGAATGAAGGTCATATATATCATATATTTTTTGTTTCTTTTTATCCGAATAAATAAAGAATATCTTATTATTCTCTATTGAAAATCAAAATAATAGATCAGATAAGCTTAATATCTGTCTATTTGATTATAAATAGTCGTGTAACAAATTTCGATGATTGTGAATAAAATTTTAGGGTCAAAAGCCATCCGCTCTATCTGTTTTAACTACAACTCTCAACGGACATGCTTTTGAAGATGAAACACATAATCGTTGTGACGCTTGTAGTCAACTGAATGCGAATCGTCGTTGTGCTGCATGCAAATCGGTCAGTATTTTAAGTTCAAACAAACTATCTTAACATGTTTTTTTTTCTTCATTCAGGCGTATTATTGCGACGAATCATGTCAACGATTATGTTGGCCAACTCATAAGCGTATCTGTTCGTCATTAAATAAAGATAAATGAATAATAAACATTTCTTATATACGTTTTCAAGGCTATTGTATTTACTCATGTGAACTATAAATATATTATTTGTTAACTAGTAGTCCATTTCATATATATTGACATTTTTTGTAAAAGTAATAAATATTAGCTAAAGTTTAAATTAAATATTTCTTCTTCCTTTTTTTTTTTTGTTTCTTTCTTTGAACTAATTTAATTTCAGAATATTCTCTTCTTTTTTTTAACATACTCTTACTAAATTAATAATTTATATGATGTCAATCATGAACAGAATAAAAAAAAAAAGAAGGACGATTTTTATACTATCATTAATCTATAATCTATTTTTTGGATAATCGAAGGAAAGTCGATGTATATTATAGAAAGAGCATGAATTATAAAAAAGAAATCAATTACGGCATGGTTATGAAGAAGTAAAATCGAAGCTTTCTCGGTATTTTTTTTTTCTTCCTGCAATGTTTTTTTTTCTATTCGTCTCTCTAACCAGCCCTATTACCATTACCGAGTCGACCCTTGTATGTTTATAGATACAATATAATATAATAATGCATGAGACTCGACAGACATTCTTTCTCTTCCATAGATACTTCTTTTTTCCTGTAGCACAACGGAAAAACATACTATAACGTTAACTTATACATTGTACCACTCTGTTTTCTATCGTGAAATTGTTCGTAAATATAATTTTTTTCTTGATTCTAATTTGAAGTAAACATTATATGACTATACAAATTGATCGCAAAATTTTTGTTAGTCAAATGCAATTAGTATTTATATGACTGAGAGACAAAAAAAATATCAGCATGTATGTCTGTGATGATGAAAATTAAAATAAATTTAACCAGTTTGAATAAATAATGATTGTTGAAGTAGTCCAACAGGTTTGTCGAGATTTTTCTTTTTTTTTTTTACATGAGAAGTAATTATTTTAGGTTGACTCAAATTTAAAGTACATTACACATACAATCATATACGAAGATTATTGATTTCGTATATATATATATATGAATAAAAAACTTGTTTTAAATTTTATTTCTTATTTTCATTATATATATATATTTTTTTTTTTATTAATCAACTTTAGATATCAAATATCATGCAGAATTTGGTATCGAATATAAAAGGTAAATTGGTTGGTAATACAACCGGAACAAGTCCTAATGAAAAATTATCACCAACTTCAACGGAATCATACGGTTTTCGTCAAATACATATACCTGAAGCTAAAATAGGCTTAGGTTCAACAGAAGCTGATTTGATTTATATGGTAAAAAAATATCTTGAAATTGTTGGACTTATCGTTATTGTTTGGGTAGTTGGTAAGAAAAAAAAACAATAAATTTTACTTCATAATAGATGTGTATCTTTTTTTTTTTTATATGATTCTCTCTTTTGAAAATATCAGAATAATTGATTAATAGAGAAGTTTTCTTGTATTAAACAAAAATATGAAATCGATTCCCTACAGAAATATAATTTCTTTCATGTCAAATTTTTACTTACAATGTCTCCAAAGTGATTCATAGTAGAACTAATTCAATAATACCGTTTTTTTTTTTTTTACTATGTACTCGTCGATTGAAATAATCAATAGTTACTAAGAATAACCAACTATTTTTATCTACCAATGCAAATATCAACTAGATTCGTATTTGTATCGTTTGATAACTGTTTTCAACAGCTTCAGAATAGTATAAAAATATTATGGAAAACAACATTATCTGATATATGTTTATCTATTGAGTATTACTCAGAGTTTTCACTGGAATCACGTACTAATATCATATAATAATATCATCGATTGGACTAGTCTTTATATGATTTTGAAAGTCTAGAGATTGATGAAAAAACACTAAATCTTATAATATATACAACAACCTTAGACTATTTCGATTGATCGAATACAGAGCATAAATAAATGTTATAGAATTAAATTCTATTACAGATCACTTTGGAACGCTTTAAATGAAAATTTGATGCAAAAGAAATTATGTTTTTGTAAGAAATCGATTTCATCAGTTATCAACTTCCATTCTTCTTTAATTAGAATCTTTTGTAGATTTTATAATAATATTAATTGAAAAATCTAATCGTTTGTAATCATTAAAAACCTCGAAAACTAACAAATCGATATTGTTTAGTGACAACGGATCCTAATGCAGATAGTCTCCGGTTAAAAATAATTTGACAGTTAAAAAACGTTCTCTGGAAAGTATAAAATATCGAGCTTTTTATTGATTAATAATAATTTTTAATTTCTCTTTATGATACATATTAACAAAAGATTGTTCGTATAAATCAAAAAGTTGAAGTGTTTTCAATATTAAAAAAAAATCTTTCTCTACAAATATCAAAGAAAGAAAGAATTATATAATTTATTAGTACAAAAAAAAAACTAAAGAATAAAAGTACATTGAATACGATTCGTTTTATAAAATCAATTTCAAAGAATTATCATTCAAATAAATATGATTTTAATATCTTTTTTTTTTGTTTTTATTTTAGGTTATTTACGATTTAGTGTTTCATGGATTTTACTTATTGTATTTATATATTTATTTCGTCAACGTCAACGAGCACTATCTAAAGAAAGACATAAAATGATTAATGAAATAAATGATAGTGAAGAACGATATATAAAAGCTCGTTTAGATGAATTACCATCATGGGTATAGTAAAAATAATAAAAACCATCATCATTCGTTTTTTTCTTTTATTTATAGGTTTTTTTTCCTGATGTTGAACGAGCTGAATGGTTAAATCGAATAATAAAACAAGCATGGCCATATGCAAATAAATATCTTGATAAAGCTATTTTTCATGATGTTATGATTCCAATGATTCGTAGTACTTCACCAGCTTTATCAGATTTTTCATTTGATAGACTTGATCTTGGTGAAATTGTACATTATTAAATATTTAATTTTTTTAATAGTTATATATATATTTTGTTTTTTCTTTAGCCACCAAGAATTGGTGGTGTGAAAGTTTATACAGATAATGTTCGAGATCAAATAATGATGGATATTGAAGTTTTGTATGTTAATATTTAATTATTTCTATTTTATAGAATTATTATATTTAGTTATGCTGGTGATGCACGTATTAAAGCTAATGTAAAAGGTATTGTATGTGGAATTAAAGATATACAATTTGTTGGTGATATACGAATTATATTAAGTCCATTAATTAATACAATACCAATAGTTGGTGCTGTTACTTATTTTTTTCTTCGAAAACCAGTAAGAATTAGAAAAATTTTTATTTTAATTTATATATTAACAAATGTTTTTTTTTTTTTTTTGTAGAGTATTGATTTTAAATTAACAGATGCTGGAACGTTAGTTGATATACCTGGTCTTAAGTAAGAATAAATTAAAAATATAGAAATAAATAAATAAATATTTATTATTTGATAGTGATTTAATGCTTGTTCAAATAAATGATATTGTTGCATCAATGATGGTTTTACCTAATCGACAAGTTTTTCCTTTAGTTTCAGATTTACAAATTGGACATTTACGATGGTCAAATCCTGAAGTAAAATTTATTTATTTAATAAATTTACAATGAAAATCTTATGTTTGTTTTGTATTAGGGTGTTGTTCGAGTTATTGTTATAAAAGCAAAAGATCTTGTTAAAGCTGATATACAAATTCTTGGTCAAGGAAAAAGTGATCCATTTGTTAAAGTTAAAGGTATAATTTAGTTGATTCAAAATTTTCTATAAGAATTGACTATTTTTCTTTTTATTGTTTATAGCTCAAGGTAATGTGGAATATAAAACAAAAACAATTAATAATACAACAACACCACAATGGAATGAAGTATGTATAAAAGATTTTTAAATGATAAAGAATTAGTTTATCTTGAATGTAAGGTATTTGAATTTGTTGTTGAACAATCTGAAAGTGATGCAGTGGAATTTGAAGTATATGATGAAGATCCTGGTAAAGATGATTTTCTTGGAAGGTAAAGCATACTTATATATTTCATTTCGAACGATTCTTTGTATTACTAACAGTAGAATGATGTTCAAACGATAGGCAATCGTCTAAGTCTTCCCCCCTCAAAATCGATCTCAGCCTAAAAACGTCCGAATCGAGCTGAAATTTTCAGTTCGAGATCATAACATTTGACAGAGATATGAACCAAACATGAGTCAAAAATAGCAAATTTGACAAACAAGACTCGTATAGCATATTTATATTTTTTTTAATACTTAATTTTTAAGCGAACAAAAGAAATGATAAATTCAATGGCTCAAAAAAACCCTAAACAATGGTGCTATTTCTATAGAAACATTCTTGTATATGATAATAAAAAAGCTTATTTCAAAAAAAAAAGGATTCTTTGGTGCACTGCATCTTGACATGCTCTTTCTAACCAAAAAAAAAATACATCACATTTTTGTTTGCGCATTCCAGATATTCATGAGTTAAGAAAAAAAACGAAAAAGGTTTTTGATTTTTTTTCAAAAATGGCTTATTTTTCCAATAGGAGATGGTAGAAATGAGAGACCAGATCATGGGCTATCTTCTCCTGTAGTTATCTCAATTTCGATCATTCTGACGAAAAGTGACTTTTTGAGGGAGGCGGCCTTAGGGATACCCTGTTCCATGTTTTGCCCTTAGACAGTTAATTGTTACATATTAAAACTCGTTTCTTGTCTTGTTTGAGTCATATGGGAGATTATTCAATTTCTTGTTTAATTTGAAATATAATATTTAATTGAGATATACGTTTTTGGAAAGAGTTTCGTTATTTGGAGTTTCAGTTATAAAAAGAATGTGTCTAAAATGTTTACATAAATGGTTTTAGATAAATAATCTAATAGCTCTTTCTTTATGTAATCAATATAGTCAATATGTTCTGACAAGAAGCTATTTCAGAACTGATAGATAAAAGTCAAGCTTGAAATAAGTATTCAAGAACATCATAAATCATAATACTCTAGCAATCTATCTCATTTTCAAAAAAAAAAACAATCTATTCTCTTCTGAGACTCATTTTTTGTTATAACATTGTTAGAAAGTGAATCTTTCAAAAGTTTTACAAAAATTTTATATTGATCATTTTTCGATTGAATCTTCATTATTACATTGATTTTTTTTGTCTATAAAGAATTATTATTTACTGAAATGTCTATGATATAATTTTTCTTTTGTTTTTTGTTCATTTCGAATATGGTATTCATTTCTGTAACAATATTTCACTTAGAATAGAATTGATTTTTCTAGAAATGAGATAAATTCAAAGCACACAAGACGTTGTTGCTGTATTTATTCATCAATAGATTTTTAAATGTAATAACACTCGACGAAAATTCGTTTAGATGATATGAGCATAACACTAGCGGCGTAACCAGAGTTTTGACGATGGTAGGGCTCAGCAACGCTTAAATATCCGGTGGTAGGGCTCAGGTTACTGAGAACTGTGGGGTGGTAGGGCTTGTGAAAGGATTCAGCTGACGATGCTAACACCGATGGTAGGGCTGAGCCCTCCTGGCCCTACCTTGGTTACGCCACTAAATGATACCTGTCACACTATATCAATCTGTAGTAATATATAAAGTGATGATAGATTGACGATTATATCCAGTGGTAAACTTTATTATCTGTTATATACAGTTTAATAGTGTTAAAATGAAAATCATAATAAGATGAAATGACAATATTGATATAGCTAAAGAAAAATTTCTATGTAGTAAAATCAAATTTTTTTATAGTTTGCAAACTCAATGGAAGTTCTTTCATTATATGACATTATAATCATCATAAATATTTTAGATTATTTTATAAAATAGTATTGTTTTATTTGTTCTTTTGTACAGAGCTCAATATCCAATAAATACATTAGTTGGTAAAGAAGCTGTTGATACCGTAAGTGAAAATTAGTTATATATATATATTTGTAATCATTTAACTCTATTATTTCTAGTGGTTAACATTACAAGATGTGAAAAAAGGTTCAATAAATGTTTGTCTTCAATATTTTTCATTAACTACACAAAAATCTGCTATTGATATTGTAAATAATAAATAGATTTCTTTTGTTTTTGAATGAAAACTTCTTTTTTTTTTGTTGTTTAAATTTAGATGGAAAAAGTTAATAGTCAAAAGATTAAACAAGAAAAATTATCTAAAGCACTTCTTATTGTTTTTATTGATCGATGTACTAATCTTCCTGTAAGAATAAATAATAGTTTTTTTTTTATATTAATATTCTATTTATTTTTTTTTTAGAGTTCAAAAAAAACTCGTCGAGAACCAAATCCATTTTGTCGAATTAAAGTTGATTCAATTGAACGTAAAACTCAAACATTTGAAAATCAAACAAATCCATTATTTGAACATATATCACAAATATTATGTTCAAATCCTTTACAACAACAATTAACTATTGAAGTATGTGATGCACGTTCAAATAATGATATAATTGGTATTTTTCAATTACCTATTAAACAAATATATGATACAGATACAATGATTATTGATTCACAAGCATTTCCATTAAAAGGTGTATCTGAACCTTTAGATAATGTTTCAATTATTCTTCGTTTAACTCTTAATGTAAGTTAATTTGATTAATAAAACTAATGACAATCATCAATATATTATTTTAGATTTTATGTCCTGGACGTTCAAGTCCATTATCAGAAATCTCATCAATAAATAGTGATAGTTCAGTTGATAATTTCACCAAAGATTCATTAAATCAAGCATCACCTACAGATGTTTCTTCAAATCCTCTTCATCAAGTAAATAAATGATTCTTTGAAGATATATATATTGATAATTTCAAACAAAATGAATTATTCAATTTGACAGAAAATTCAAATTATTATGAACTATTTCAAACACCCGGCTTTGCTTAGGAAATTCAATATTTCATGTTTGACATATTCGAAAACGGTAGTCTTATAGTTTTCTATAAGCTATCGATCTTGAATGTTACAAAATATGTTAAAATCCCTTTTCCTTTTCAACTTTTTGTAGTTTTTGGCATTTTTAAATTTTGTGAAAAAACTTCTTTTTTTTTTATTTTAAAAATATTTTCGAATGCTTGATGAATGCTTTGAATAACTTTCTAAGTTAGTTTGAAGTTTAAAACAAGAAAAGTTCTTTGAAAAATGATTTCATCGTTTTGTAACATTTTCGTTGAAAACTTAGTCGAAAGAATATTACTCACTAAGAAACTATGCTAAAATTTTCCTGTTCAGAAAATCGACCAATCACATTTGAGTATACTTTCACGCCCTAAAATCTCAAATCTTTATCTCTTTTGATTCTCGAGTTATTGAGATTACATTCACACGCATGAAATTTTTGGATGGAACACTTACTGTAGTGCTCCATACAATGGGATTACTAAGTACTCTCGATGGAAAAAATTTGAATCGAAAAGTAGTCCATGACTTTTCTCTGAATGAAAGAGTATGTCATGCAAAGTTTGGTTGTACTGGCTCCTACAGGAATACAAATGCATAAAGAACAAACAAACAAACATTCTTCTTTATATATTAGACGATATAGAATTGTAAACTGATTATCTGAAAAATGACGCATTTATTCAGCTGAGAGTCATAAGTTAATCCAAGAATTGTAACAGCCATACATAAGTAGCTGCTCAAATGATAATATTTTCATTCGAAAATTTTATAAATTCTCTACAGGTTCATCCAAGGGGGAAGAGACTGATTTGAAACGCGGAAATCATTTAAAATCATTTGAAAATCACCTGCAATTTGATCAAGTCACTAAAGAAGAAAAAATTTATTTCAAATGATTTCGTAAGTTTCTGGTGTTTTCAGTTGATATCAAGCAATTTTAAATGATTTCAGACGATTTCAGGGATGTACGGAAGTCAAAACTTTCAGCCTCGGTCTCCGTGAGTCTCCCTACCGGTCATTGCCAGCCTGGTACACCGCTAGATAATGTCATATGATTTTTAGTTCATGTCGAGCGATTTCGAATAATTTTAACCTGTCTTGAAACTGGTTTCAATTAATTTCGATTTCGCTCGAAATCAATCGAAATCATCTGAAATCAAACCACTAATTTGAAATCACGAAATCAGTCACTTCCCCCTTGAGGTTCATCACAAGAAATCAAATATATTTCGTTAATGTAGTTCGTTTGAATATCGCTGTCGGTATAAGTGAAGAAAATGCGCCCATGAACGCACATTCGAAAGGTCTAAAGGGACCAGTGGCGTAGCCAGGGGTAGGGCCATTGGGTAATTGCCCATAGCTACAAAAGTTATTGCCCATGGATTTATTGAGCTATGCAGTGCTTTAGCAGTTTTGGCCCATAGATATTTTTGAAATCATAACGGTTGCCCTTAGCTGCCCGTAACTCAAAATAGTTCGGCTGATCAATTGCCCATGACTCAAAAATTTCTGGCTACGCCACTGGTTCATATCTTCGATTGTCTAAAATGTTTAATATCAATCAATATTTTCTCATATTCATTTTACAAATTAGAACATCTTTTGAAAAATTTCTATAGAATTAATAATGAACTTTTTCTAATTTCAATTTAAATCTAATCATAAAGATCTAGTTAACAGTAATTTTCTTCTTTTTATTTGTATTCATTAGCTTTCTTCATCTGTTCCACTTACACAATCAAGAAAAAGTTCACCAAGTGACAATAAAACTCTTTTAATTTCTGATGATCCTGATCTTAAGTAATTTATACAATTAAATTTCTTTTTTTATTCTATACATTCTTAATTTTAATATTAAGTTCAACACCATATGGCATGATAAAACTTGGTATTAATTATGCTATTAATAGAAAATCTTTATCTGTAACTGTATATGCATGCAAGTTAGTAATATTTATTTTATTGATTAACTATTTATTTATTTTGTCTAGAAATCTTATTAATGTTCATCGTGAAAATTTACCAGATCCATATGTACGTGTTTATTTAATGCCTGATTTCAAGAAAGATAAAAAGAAAACAAAATCTATTCATGATACACTCAATCCAACTTATGATGACTTGTATAACAAAAAAAAAAAAAAAACTTCTTTTTTTTTTTCGTTTTAATATTCAATAGATGTTTATTCTATATAGATTTGAATGGGCAGCATCATTAGCCGATATACGTCGACAACATCTTTTTATAAGTCTTAAAAATAATTCACCTTTATTTAAACAAGAAGAAACATATATGGGAGAAGTATAATATAAATAAATTATTTTATTTTTAATAATGAAATATTATTATAATATTAATAGATTGAAATTAATTTATCAAATCTTGATCCAGAAAAAACTAGTATAGCTTGGTATGCTTTACAAGAACCAAATACAAGTGCTAGTGGAATAATGAAAATAAAATATGATACAAGTGACTCTAAAACACAATTTTAAATTATTTTATTTAATCTTGCTATATTATATTCTCATAAATTTTTCAAATATTATGTGCGTGATTTCAATTATGCTTTTTTTATTTTTATTCTCATCTTTATATAATCTCGTAAAAGCCAATAGAATCATTTTTATTCTGTAATTTTTTTTTCAATACTTAGATTTTAGAAAGAATATATAGATATAATCGATACGAATTCATAAAACAAAAAAATTATTTATTATTGACAGAATTATTTTAACTCTATGAATATTATGAATCTGCTAGTAACAAAAAATTATTTTTCGATTTCATATTCAAGACAATGATCATGTGTTATGAATATTTACTTTAAAACTATTGTAAAATATTGAAAACTAGATCAACTAAAGAAAGAACGTAATTATTTATAATTATATCTACAGAAATATACAACAACAAAATTTCATTTACTTTCAACCTATATTTCAAAACAATATTCTCTCAAGTACATATGAAGAACCTTTTTTACAATAAGAACAGTAATAAACAATTTAATATGCCTCTTTGCTTGTCTAACAAGCAAAACATACTTATATTAATTATCAATTATTGAATCAGATAACCTATTCTTATTCAGACTATTGTTTGATATATTGTTAAAATATTTAACGAATCCATGTTTTTATGGGTTTAGGACAGTTGCGCGCGGACACTTGCTCGCTATAACAGTTACATAGGGTCCTATAGCGAGCAACTGTCCTAGCGAGCAAGTGTCCGCGCGCAACTGTCCGGATCCCGTTTTTATATATTTCATCATAGACGGTTCATAATTTTCTAAAAGAGTTTATCGAGTACCTCTCTGAAGTGCAAATATTTGTGTTTTTTATAGTCAATGCACAAAATTATATTTTGATACAAATATTTACATGAAAGTAACTAGCATTCTGATTACTTCTCAACAAATATAGTCTATTAATATTCTTTAAAATTCATTAGAGTGTAAATTAAATTAGAAATAATATATTATAAAGAAATTCTAATATCTTCATACTATAATTTTATTTTAGTTTAAATACTAATTTTGATAATTTAAATTTGTTTTTCTATTTCAAATTACGAAAATTCACGTTTGAAATAAACTCCAATCATAAGTTGCAAAAATATGTTTTTTTTTCTATTTTTTTCAATATAAATTAATTTTTCTTGACGTCAGCGGCAACAAGAAAAGCTTTTAGAAATATAAATAAAAATTTTTATTTAATTATAAACTATTTCATGTAAACAATTCTATATTCAATGATACAGCCTTTTATTCATGATGAAATTTTAAACAAACTCTGACGTGAGTAAAATTGTATGAGATAGCATCTGGAAATGTTTTTTGACATGTAGAAGTTGATCATTTGATCGTATACTGTAATGAGGTGGGCGATTCGTCAATGACTCATTATGTGCATGATCGAATCTAATCATCTTACTTATACTTCTATCATTTAAATTAGTCCGGACTTGATCGGGTACATAAGATTACCAGTGTGTTCTACGTAGTGTTGTGGTTGCTCTTCCTTTTTTAATTTTTCGCATAATGTTATGATTCTTAACATAGAAGTAATTAAAAAATTGAATAAAATTTATTTTGCAAGCTTTTTACATGGTCTATAGAGCTCAACGAACTCTACAACAACTACTATATTAAGAAATTTGAACAAACACTTCTAAAAAACGGTTTTTTTTTCCATTCCAGTACATTAGAGTCAATTGTTTATAACATAATAAGCTTTTTCAAATTGTTACTTTTCATGAAATATACTAAAAAAGATGTTCAATAGATGCAATGTGCGAAATTGCATTTGATAATTGTTAGGATTCACGCTTACGTAAGAGCGACGAACACTATTAAAGATGTATGTTGTTTTGTTTTTCTCTCTGTTTATTCTTTGAAAAAAAATCAATGTTTATATACCAACATGAAAATAAGGACAAAAGTAGAATAGAATAGAAAGATTAATCAAGGTCAAAGAAAAACAATAGAAACGAAAATATCAAAAGAAAAGAGAATGGATACGATCGAGGTATATGAAGTTAGAATACACTGTAACAATGATATAGTCTTAACTGCAGAATCATATATGCATTTTTTTTTAATATTGTATTAAATAAATATTTTTCCAAGTATCCGATTATCAAGAATGACTATTTATAAAAGTTATATTTATTATAAAGTTGAATATTTTTCTAATATATGAAAAAAGTAATTTCTTTAAAATGTTTTGTAAATTTCATCTAAGAAAGTGCGTTTAAAAATGAATTGTTTTCTATATGTCCTTGTCACATTCATCGATCTCTATCGAAGCATGTAAGGACGTTGTAAAAAAAGGTTTTGTTCAACTTTTGAATCACTTGTATTTTTTTAAAGAATGCAAGGAAACTAGAACAGTAATTAGATAGAAAAAATTTAATAAAACTGATGGAACAACAGCTTGCTAACAGTTTCTTTTATATTGATGCAAAACAAACGCCATGTTTATTCATCAACTTGAAAGAGCTACATGTTTTGTTCTATGTCTAGATCGTCAAATATCAAAACTCTACTTGTCTGATTAGGATTATTAAAAATACATTTCAAAAGAAATGAACGATGTTTAGTTTGAACAATATACGCTTGACTAAATATTATAGACAATGAATAAAGTTGATTGTAACATTTTTCAGTACTGACTTATTTTTATTCGACAATGAAATGACAAAAACAGATATACAGAATAATCATTATATTCTATACACTAAAGTTTCTATAACGATAAGAATCCTTCTGATTCTTGCTTTATACTTAGAAAAATTTTTTATCATGTTATCATATCGTGGATTTTACAATAGAAGATTTTTAATGAAAAATCTGTTATAAACATTTGCTTTTATTCAAACGCTAACATAAGGCTACAGTTCTTCTAGATCTTGTATGCTATTCTAACGAGAAAAAAAGTTTTAAAAGTCAAAAAAAAAAAGAAAAAATAAATGAAAAAAGGAAAGTAAAAGTGCCACCCATAACAAGAACATTTGCGCAGTTTATGAAGCATGAAGTTATAGAACGTGTCGCGAAGAAAAATAATTTATTCTCGAATACGATATGGAAACCATTTTTCTTTAAATCCCAATTGCTTAAAGACGAAACAGACAATATAAAAAATGATTTCTTATCAAAAGTGTTTTACAGGGACTGTTTTTTTCTGATAGAACATTGAACCAAAGTATATGTGAGAGTAGAGAGAGAGAGAGAGCTGGTATCCGAGAAAGTTGAGTAGTAGGCATCAGTAATTTTCCTGTAAATGCTTCTTTTCTACGATTGCAATATTTTATATGGAAGCTATCGTTAGACGAGATAATTCTTTATTAGAACAATCATTCATTTATTCTTTGATCATTTTGATTTCTTCGTTTTTTAGCGTTTTCAAACTGTCAATCAATTCACATTTGTCTAAAATCAGGTAGGTTTTACACAGATTGAAATGTGGATTAATATAAATATGCGAATTTGAAGGATAAATTTAACCAAATATCGACGCCCATATGACTCAAGTTTCACCCATGAAATCAACACCTGTGTAAGTAGAAAACTTGAAATAATTTTATATGTAATCTAAAATCATTGAAGCCAAAACAAGAATCTAAGCACTGTCATCATGTTCGTCCTTCTTATCATAGCAGTGGCTGCTATTGCAATAGCCACACCAATGGCATTGAAAGGTGTAGGTATTTTTTCTAAAATAACATCTACACAAAAAATGACAACACCAATCACCACTACAATATCTACCACCACAACAGTAGTTACTACTACAAGATCTACCAACACAACAGTAGTTACTACTACAAGATCCACCAACACAACAACAGTAACAAGAGGAAATAGCACAGGTAAGAAGATACATGAGTTTTCTTCGATTTTAGTGTTCAACAAATGATTTCATTGCATCATGTAAATAAGAACAGGTTTGAATAAGAATATTATTTGTCAAAGTCTGCTCCAACGCTACTCTTCTTTTTCTAATTGAACTTCAGCAAGTTCTATGTGTTGATTTAATCCAATTTCTTATAGCTCAAAAAAGAAAAACGTTTCTGAAAATCTTAATGTACGAAAGATTTACCATGGAACCAATGAAGAAGTCTCATCAGTTGCTCGCCCGCTGATTTCAGTGATTTTTTGCCTATGGATTTGATATTGATATCCTATCTCTTCCTTGAAATGGTATGAGTCAGAATATTCTTTTTCTGATATTGTTTTGTATCTATTATATTCATAGAAATTTAAATTACTCGGTTCTTTTTCTTGTCACTTACAGAATTTTGTTTTCCAAATGATGATTCTATACAAAATTTCTTCACGTAACAATATCCATTCCTACTATCGTTCAGTATATATGTTGGTAGTAATGATTTTTATATTGTTACAGAATGAAGTTACTTTTTGATAGTGGTCTACTGACTGTACACTTCATTTTCTTTTTCTCTTTCACTGATTTGTTTTTTCATCTATTCTTTCATCATCAATCTTCTGGCATATATGACACATATGCATAGCTTTTCCAATTGTTAGTAACACGAATTCTTGGATATTTCTTGTAACAGGTTTTCTTTTTGTCATCCATTGTGTATTGTGATTTATTGTCCATATTGATTCATGGGATTCTTCTCCACTCTGTTTTTTTATTATCCGATGGAGTATTTCCATAACATCATAAGTACAACCATCATTATGTACAGCTGCTAATTATGTATGAAAAATGTGACAGAGAATGTATGTTTCTATTGACATTTTCGTTACTTTTCTTTTTTTTTTTAAATCATGTTCTTTCTCTCATCTACATTTCAACAAAGGATTTACATCCTAGTCTCATTCACTACATAACAATACAGAAAATTGTCAATGCAGATTGATGTAGAATCAAAGTGTGAAACTTATTTATTGCTCGTTTTCAGAGGTATTAAAATAGCTTACTTAAAATAAGGTCAAATTTAAGAAATAAATCAAAATCAGAAC